GTAACAGTGTAGATTAGGGAGTTAATTAGAGCCCCGTCTTTATGATCCAACCAACCACCTCCTTCTGCATGCTATAATTTCAGAGTTCATCTGCAACTCTGCGAAGCAAAGCGAGCAGATGATACTTGCAGGTGGTGACGCCAATATGCTTCTTACACGGTAAACGCTGTGATATAAACTGTTACATTCAATAACTTCATTCCAACACACAGGGCGTAACAAGACTCACATTCCTCGAGGAGGTGGGAGTTAATTTTCAGGAAACCTGTAGCAATATGGAGCATAGCAAGTCAACTTCCGTAACGTTAATACGAAGTTTAGCGTCAATAAATCCATTCCAATATATATATAGTCGGTCTCTTTTATATGGAACTTGGAATTCAGTTAATTTCATGAAGCCGTTCTAAATAAAAACAGTGTATTTTCGCGGGAGGGGCGGAGACGCAGGTAATTTTATTATTTTGTATAATAAAGGGCTGAGTTTAATACATACAATTTAAAACTGCAACACAAACTATTTATTTCGTCAAACAAAAAATAAACCACACTACGTGTTTAAGCCATCTTCAGGCGAGACAACGCAAATATACGAGATTTTACATTGCCTTATAAACTGCATAGTTCAAATATTTACCTGACAAAATAAACTTTTTGAGTAACTGTGTTCAATTGTGCGTACTCAATTACAAATAACAGGGTCCAACATTGCAAAGACTGAGTTTAGTTCACAAGCAAATCTTCATATATTTACTAGTACTTTTTGTGTTATACGCAATGCAATGCAATGCCTAGCCATTCACATTCCTTTACCGTAGTTAAATGTTAACTGAGGTTTCCTAATTAACTTCATCCTAATCTTTTCTGTATTCATCTTTAATTACTCCCTATAAACTGCTAAAGAATTTCAAAACATAAATTAAGATCAACTTTGTCTAAATAGCCTCACAAAGTAGATATCGTATTCTCTCCTACTGAAGTAAGGTACGCTTTAAACATTTATTAGTCAAAACAATGAGACACATCGAAAGAAAAGGTGAGTTGTCATGTTCTCATGGCGTTAAGTACAAAGCGTATTGTCTTTGGAATATTGTACACCAACGTTGCTCCTATCATCAGGGCGATAACTACTCACCTGGTAATAAATTCAGTAAGCACCTACGAAACGTCGGTAAACTTCTACCAGACCATAAGGCACAATATTTCAGAAGACAGCAATATTCACAGAAACAAAACACTCTCAAAATAACACGAAAAGTCACCAACCTTTAAGATCACAATGCCGTACTTTCTATCATATATTTTAAAGAAATAAATCATCCTGAAACATAGAACAAATGGAATCAGAAGGCAAAACTCCATAAAGCAAATCAATTGTGATTTACTATTTATAAACACTTCACACGATTATTTGTTCGACATTTAATTACTTCTGTGCTATGCATTAATTGCATTTATATTTAATAAGCTCTGTTAAAAGTGTGGAAGTCACTGATAAAACATAAAACACCCATTAACTGCTAACTGAACACTGTGGTATTGTTATTATTGACAAACTCACCTGCCATGCACATGTCACTGTGAGAAAAGCATCTAATTACAATTAATGAATGTTACTTCACACGAAATTCCAGGGTGGAATCACGACACATTAAAACTGGGCCAGTAGGTGTTGCAACAACTTTAATGTCTCACATGAAACACGTAGAATCCAGCAGTGTTTACGTCCTTCATGACCGAATAAAGACTGGAGTGCGGATAACGGAAGTACAGTATTACTCTGTACAAGGACATTTACGTTCAGATAACCAGGTCTGATTTTTGAAGCGACAAGCAGCAATCCAGGAAATAATTAATTGTAATAGTTTTTAAATAAATCCACCGTGTATTTTAAACAACTCACTGTGTAATCACTGGTTATGTTGCGATAGTGAACATCATATCATCATGGCTCACACACAAATCTCCAATCAAATGTAAAAAAACCGAGATATTCAGGTTGTATTTATTAAATGTCAAGTCTAGTATGAAAGAGAGTTTCTGTTACCAAATATTAGCCAATATTTTATTATACTTTAATATAAATTAGGATATACTGAAACATTCATATGCATTAAACTTCGAAAATTTAATTTAATGGTAACAGATGAGAGGTGTGCGTCGTACTGATATCTGTTGGCACAATCAATAACCAAATAAAATGTCTACGTGTAATGTTACATATCAGCATAAGATAAAGAAAACTAAAGAAGACTAAAGAATAAATAAGAACGCATAAATTGTGCAAGATAAGAGATAAGGAAAGAATAATAAATCAATCAGAATAATCACAAATGTAAACACGTACAGTGTATAGAATTGTACCACTAGTTATATGGATTTATACATGTGAACAAACACACTGTCCGTATTCCCTTAACTTTACAGCAAATGGTACAAGACAGATCTCAGTCTATAGAATTTTAAGATAAACCAATCAGAAAACTGTGAAGCTTCTACGAGTGGGTCTTTTAGACGTGGAATGTCACAGTGAACAGTTTGCAGGCGAGGAATAAAGAAGGAAATATGAAATGGTGTGAGTTGCTGCTACAAATGATAGCTGCGGAGAAAGGAAAGCCCAGACATCTCTCTCTCTCTCTCTCTGTATCTCAGAAAACTGCACTGACGGCAGAGAAGACTGTTGTTTCATTTCGCTACAAACTGTTGCCCTGGCAGTGGTTATAAGTGAGCATTAACATTTCCAGGATGCGAGAAGATACATTTTAGTACAGACGTTCACACACAATAAAATTTACGTTCCCTTGCATCAAGTCTCTCTTCCTATTCATTCTCAACATACAACTTGAGTATGGAATATCGTTACGACGAAAGTTGGCTTTTCAATGTAGCGGATATAAGCTCCTAAACTAGAAATTGTGTGCTGGGTAACTGTGTGAAGTCTCAAGTTGCAACTTTGACACGGACTGTGCATTTTTATGTTGTAACAAGATAATGAAACTTTTCAGAGTTTTGCTTCCGTCTCTAATTTACATTTCCGCTGGAAACTTCAGGGGTAAAACGAGGATATGGAATGAGACCGACGATCAGAGCAGGAGGGCGTTAGTTGAACACTCAAATGCTGGGAACGCGGGTTCGAATCACGCTCGGATTGGACACGTGCTGAACCCTGAATCCTCCTCTCTGACGATATCCTCCGGAACGCACAAATTACTGACTGACTTCAAGTATGCAAAGACTAACCACGTTGGGCTACTTGGTTGAATGAAATCCAAAACCCTCTAAATTCATAAAAAAAAACTGGTACAACAGGAAGTAAGTAGTAAATAAATGGCGAATCAAGTTGGAATAGTGCATAAATAATAGCAGTTAACTTTAGCACAACGTTAGGACTTAATCTATACCGATACAAACTAAAATCTCTATCAATTATGTGGGAATCAGCAGGCTAAATGACTGAAGCAAACACGTCAGAAGAGTAAGACATACCAAGACCATACTGCGATATAATTCTCTGAGACCAAGCAGACTTCACTGCCCCTAAAATAATCTAAGGATACATCTTGGCATGTATAAGTTAACAAGACGTAAAAGTATCCCAACGTTTGCCTACGTGACCTTAAAATTTTCGGGATTATCATTTAATTAAAAAAACAATGAATTTTCAAAATTTTGGTTTTTTAATTTTATTTAATTTAGATTTTTTTAATTTGTGGGCATACTGCCAATTTAGGAATTTCTTGTAATTTTTAAATATTTTGATATTTCTTAAATTTTCAAAATTCCAAAATGTTGTTTGTCAAATTTTTAGTCATTTCTGTATTTTTTTACAATTTTTCACAATTTTGATTTTTTTCAATTTTTTTTTGGAATTCTGGATTTTTTTAAAAAAAACATTTTGAAAGTTTTGGAAATAAAGACAACAAAAATTTGCCATTAGTTTAAAAGTGGTGCGAAGAGGACTTCTTGGCCATTGAGTCCAACGGGAAAGCAATTCTTGGCCCCAGGGAAGAAAGAAGTTGGCCAACTTGCTCTAAACCATGCAAGTCGGAAGTTATTCCCGATTTGTCAGCTTGACCTGTTTACCAGAGATCACGTCAAACCAAAGCGACAAGCAGATTTCATTAGCAGTCAAGGACTGGCACCGTCCTCTCTCACCCCTTCCAACTAATCGGAACGCGAGTCGCCATGTTCCCACTTCCTGACGTAATTTCAAGTAACTCCCCAATTCCCTAATTCTAGTTAGTCAACCGTTGTTACAGTGTGGTTCAAAACGCGGATCCTAATACCAAGCCAAAGTCGTCTAATATTTCAGCAGAAGTAAATAATATTTCTATAAATGTTTTTCATTTTGAATAACACGTTGAAGCCTTGTAATCAATTAACTTGTCACAAGACAGTTTCATGAAACCTTTCATAGCTATACCACCTCTCAAGAAATTCCTTGTATTTACAGAACATGAAAAACCTTCACCAGCACAGAAGCTCGCTACTGAATCATATTCCGATTCATTTCGGTCCACCGTTCTGTTTCTCAATATCAGTTTCCACTTTCACCTCGGCCTCCTTTGTAAATTGCTTTTGTGAGGTTTCGTACAAAATTCCGCGTTTATTTCCTTTGTGGTAAGTGTACAAAGCGCGTGCCTGTAAACACAGCAATTGTCCTTCGCTTTCCCTAAAACGGGTGGCGCATTTATTGACTAGCTGAACGACTATAAACTTCTCAAGAACTATGCTGCATGCAGTAAGTTAATTAATTAGTTGATGTATGGGAATTGCATCTCAGCCTTGACAACAGCGACTCTAAATATGTTTTAAATACTAATTTTTAGTTGATGATGTGTCAACGTATTATCGACAGCATCCCATTACACTACACATACACTACCTGTTTCTTCAAGGCGCGCTAGGCTCCACAGATTTAAGCTTTTCGATATGTTATATATACATATATAGTCGAAATAACTCATAATAGAGAAATTATTTAAGGAAACTCGTAATTCTGAATTCTTCCCTTGAACCCAAAAAGCCTTTAGAAAATCAAGTTTCCTCCGTACAGAAATTTCTGGATCCGAAGCGCTTGAATTATAGTTGTTACAAATAAGGAAATGTATCACATCATTTATTTATTACCGCCAAATGTAAACTGACATTTATTCAGCCGTGATTACACAGCCTTAGGAAATAACAACTGGGCGAATTAAATATCAATGCGTTAACACCGCTACGAAGTTCAAACAGCAGAAGATAACAGTTTCTATTTCCTTATTGAAACAAGTGTTCCGCAATATGGAACATTATTCAGCAATGTTAATTAAGATGCGTAAATAGACGACAGAGTAGTATTTCAATGCTGTCGAAAATGAAACATTTGTGATTTCTAACACAAGGGGTGTTATATTCTCTGCTGGTAAACACTAATTTCGTGTGACAACGGCCTCTCCCTCTTAATTCAGATTTGGAATTAACTCTCTCCGGGAGGCATTGCGCTAATCCATCTCCACAGTTTTCTCGCATCGTAACATCTTAAGATAAACACCCTCAGAACTGAAATAATATTTATACAAGAATTCGGATACGAAGCTTAGCATCTAGTCTGAATGCTATTTAATTTATAACACGACGTTGAATATGAAGATTTGTTAAAATTTATAATGAGACTATTTGTGTGTATTTCATTTCATCCCACAAACTGAAGTACATTTTCGTTCGAAAACGGACCCACTGTTACGTCAGAGTGTAGCATTAACTTCGTTTTACATATTAATTTGTTCGTTACCCTTTACTCTGTGATCAACATCAGCGACTTTCGGGAGCTTTCCCAGCCTTGTGGAGCGCCTATGAAAACAACTTTGGCCGTCCGTCTGTACGTATCAACTCTAAACGACTGTGTCTATGAGGACTTGAATTACAATTTTCTGGTCACTTGGCGTGCATTTCAGTTCAGTGAGTACTGCATCAGAAAATATCTAGTTTGGTGTGTCTTGTACTACGTCGGTAGTCTTGTACACAACGATTCAAAATTCTCTACACGTTTTAAAGAACAAGTGTTAGAAGTGAGAACTGATTCAAAATTCACTCACACCCTAATGTCGCAGAGGATTTTAGTGTATTACGTGACTGCATGACCTCAACTAACATCCTTCAAGCTGTCGTATGGTGTTGTAACCGACATTTTTGTGTTCTTGTATATGCGCAGGGACGTTGAATCATTCTGTATAATAAGCTCAGTTCTCTTCAGAAATATGAAGTGCAGCAGAACGGGAACTCCCAAGATTATTACTTCAACATCCAATATACCTCCAGGAAAAGAAATTCCCTCCTTCCCCTTGCGTATTTCCCAACTGACTCCCTTTCCAGCCTTCTTTCTTTCTTTCTTTCTGTTTGCGTCTGAGACGTCCCTAGCACAAGGGATGAACTCAAGGGTACAGAATACTAATTGATTTATTAATCTCACCAATACCCATAGGTTGTACTAAAACTATAAGCAGTCCCAAAAATATGTGCACACAACGTATGCACCGGTTGTAGCACGTCTGTTTGGGACAATGTATGCAATTATGAACTCAAAGCTCCTCGTTTTGGTTCAATTGCTACTCATGAAATATGAGATTTCGGTCTTCTCGGTTGTGACGTAGTGTGGTCTAGTCTAGTCTAGTCTAGGTCTATCGCAGAATGTTGGTGTTCAGAATATAAAGATTAATGGAATGCCACACGACAGAACAAACATTTCCTTGCAAATAATAGTTTATTTATTGTGTACTGTTTTGATGTGAGCTATGCTTGGGAGTATTACACCCAAAACGAAACTAAAGAACAAATACGCTCTTGATTGTAAGCCACGTTTTGTTTAATTTTGTTTTAATTTACAGAATTCAATAAATACTGATATTAAAATTTCAAGCACTGACATCCATGTTGTTGCGTCATTCCAGCACAGGGCAAACTTTGCCATTTCCAGAATCAGTTCAAACTGTTTGTCGGTAAACAAACGCAGTCACCACATCATAGAAATCAAACAACTGTGAATCCGTGTGTTTCAGTGGATACTTTCAGTGGGGACACGTTAACACTCGTGAAGCTGGATAGAAGGCAAATGGGCGCTTATCTGTGCATAGCTTCAAATGATGTACCACCAGCAGTTAGCAAGCGCATTACACTCAACGTAAACTGTAAGTACATTCCACATAAATATTTTTATCACTTCAAAAATAGACACCCAACTATTTTCAATGTATACAGAAAGTGTAGCCTGGTGTTAAATCGCGCAAGTTTCCCTGCACAAAAGGATTTAAGCTTGGGTTTTGAATTCCTGGTGCACACCTCTTTCCCCATCCATGCGTGCCAAGTGCCCAGCCCATCTCGTTCTATAATATTCATTTAGCATAATGATTTCGAGCTTTAGAGAAAATGACTAATGCAGAAGATGAAAATGGCTCACATTTTCTGTAAAATGAAATGATGGGCCTCTTATAACGAGCAAACTACTTTGGTTTAAAATTAATTATTCCCATGCGTCATATTTCAGTAGAAGAACAGTATCACTTCCATTAACGCTCTGTAGAGCCGACACAAGTTAAAAAAAGTAAAAATAAACAAGCAAGCCTCTCGCGCAATGTGCTTCAAGCGGTTATATCCAGGTAGTAGGGAGTTTTCACACCAGAATATAGATATTGAGGGTTGGCGCATTGCGACAGTTATTTTGGCGGGAAAAAGCACAGGAAGAGATACAAAAATAAGTGAAATGTCACCAAGCCTCTCGTAAAAGTAATGCTTATACGCACCTCCATAATATTATATGGCAAATATTTGACAGTTGCTGTTTAAAGTAACTAAATTACAGATTACTTGTAATCACTAAAACACAAAAAGAGAACTGTATGACTTTATTAACGAAGTGGTCTCTGAGGTTCGTTTTATATGGTATACGACTTTTAATCTTTAGTTAATATTTGGTAATATATTCCTGTGTTTGCATCTCTTCGTCACGTGATCGATTATCTAATAGCCAATGTTTCTTTTTCCTTTCCCTCATTCTACCACAAATGTTTTTCGTCAATGACTTCTCAACAACCCCCCCCCCCCCAATTAGCAAATACGCTCTAAAAAGCTTCAATTCATCAATCGATTAAACGCCTAACTTACAACGAATTATGCTTCTCCTGTATAAGTATGAATGATTGTAGACGAAAGTCAATTAGAAACTTGTTTACCGACTTCAGACATTTCATCATTTCATCATTTCATCATTTCGACTATTTCGTTAATTACTTAAATTTTCTGATACTATCAGTATGTAATCATGATAACGTGGAAATTCTATGAATGGGAAATTTGAACAGTGAGGCCTTGTTAGCTTTAACCTTCGAGAGATAACGCGACACTTTTTTCCACCGATGTCCTCGAGCACTACATAAATGAAGACAAGAAATACCAATGATTATAAGCGAGATATCTCATGTATAGCATTAAACTAATTGAAGTTAGTAATTTATTAAGTGATTAATTCCCTTGTTTTCAAGGTGTATGTAAATATATAGCTGTACCATTAACCTGATTCCACCTCAGTTCGTCGGTGGCAGGGTAAAAAGTATGAGTCCAAAAATTACACCCAAAGTATGATTTATACTTTACAGCCTACACTTCATTGAATCTGTAATTTTAAAAATTATCAATTCAGCATGAAGTTCATGCATAAACTGTATAACCATATTTGTAAATATATTTTTAATCAATAAAACTGATTATTAAAACTTTCCGAAAGTTACTTTTTGTATCCTTGAGTTTTAGGGTTTACATGTCTTTACCTTGACATCGGCGAAATGTAAAATGGTCTTTTCAAAGAAATTCAGTATTTGCTGAAGGCAGGATAGAACGTGTTAGATGAAAACTATGAAATAAAAAATACCATTAACGATTTCAAGCTCTGACGCAAAATTACAGTTCTTTAGTAGTATCCAAATTTTCGTACAACACAAACGATTTAACTCTGTCAAAACGTAACTTGTGTATTCTTCTCTGTAACCACACTATTTTCGCTAAGTTCGTTATCTCTCCTTTCTGCAGTTGCCCCAGTGGTCAAAGTTCCGAATCAGCTGCTTGGGGCGCCACTTGGGACAAACGTTTCCCTGGAGTGCCACGTTGAGGCGTTCCCCAACACCATCAACTACTGGCTGAAGAACAGAGGAGAAATGCTATTAGACGGGTAAGTGGTTCAAAGTTGTATCACTAAGTGAGACGCTCCAACACGGCACTCCGAACAAGCACAGATAATATGAGAATGTGAGTTCCCTCGGTGGTGGGTATGAAGATTACTGTCAAAGCGTAGGCCATCATCGCTCTGATGACGGAGGCAGTAAGCATGTCGGGAACGTTGGTCAATTTCTACGAGACTACACGGTGCAATATCTTCAGGAACAGAAGAATATTATTTGATGGGCACGCCTACACAGTAGCGTGTATATGAATAGAATGATATTCCCAAGAAATATAAACTAATGGATGAAGAAAGTGGAAAATGTTACATGACGGATATCAGGTACTACGTTACTATTTTTTGTGCTATTTATCTAACGCTGAAAAGGAAGACTCGGGTTCTAGAAGCAGCATGCTAAAAGGGTACATCGTCTACAGTACAAAAAAAAACATTTTTTTACGCGGACATGTCCAACGTCGATTCCATTATACGTGAACAATTATTTTCCGAATGCGGAAAATTCTATTATACGCGGTCTGTCAAACACGCTGAAGGAGTACACAAAAAAAGACCACTACTCTTGAAAAACCTGACGACGGTTTAATTCTTGCGTGTGAATTTGTGCAACCAATTTTAATTTTATAGGATTTGAGACTTTCAATCAATACAATCATCTCGGGCAATCAGCCGCGTTAACTGGTTACCGTGGTAAACCGACGTTTCGGGTACCAACTCTGTCCCCATCATCAGGGTTCTTATGTGACTGGATACCTCGGAAGTCGCCTGTGTACACGTTTAAGATTTAAAATGAATTCCATGAATTTTTAAAATGGGAATAAGCCTGTAATTGCAAACTATGTCAGCCCAGATTTAATTTACAGACATCAACGCGTATAGCACAAGTAAGTAATTAAACAGAAGTGTACAGGTGTGCATGTTTCGATAAGTGAAAATCGATTTATTATGATGCTCCACATAGCATTGAGTTCTATCGAGTTCTGTCACGAGTGATTTAGAGTGGTTGAAACTAACATATATCATATCACATCACAATTACACACCATCGGAGAGTGTCACTCTCCACTAAAAATCAATGGCTGTGCATAGAAAATACCGCAGTAAAATTATGGTTCACGCAGTGTAATTTTACTCCTGACAGAAACCACGTACCAAGTGTTACGACACAACTATGGGATCTGTTTAGTCCCTCCGTGTGAAATAAAACATAAGACATTAAAGCAGAACATACGTGTTCATCTATTTCTGTACACAGAAAGACTTGAATAAACATGCCTCAAAATAAAGAGAGAAACACGAGATTAATCTAACTGAAACTGAAACGTATTGAAGCTGTGTTATTGTTTCCTTAAACGTGGTTTTTAAATTCTACAAATATTATTTCCGATTGGTGAGTTTAGACATTTTAACTATTAAATCAACCATCGAACTGAGAACGGTAACAGAAATTTGGAAAACGTTATTCATCATAATCCTTCCAGAATGAACAGATAAAGTAATCGTTTTAGATTCTGTGTAATTTACTTTCCGGGTTTAAGCTTTTTCTCCACACTCTTAACATAGAAATAATTGCATAAGAGTGGTAATTCAGAGCTTTGGATTCACACTTGGCTTGAGTAACTAATTACAACCGCACACAGACTCGCATAAAAACAAACGAAGCATTGCATCCGTAGGTACAATGCTCCCACCCCCAAAATCGACCCCCATTCCACACTCCTCGCGTGGAATCATAATTCTGTCACAAGGGTATAGACCTACTACAGTAATTAGTGAGGGCTCTGAGTTCCATACACAGTGGCGGTGGAAAATCTCATTTTCAGGAACGTCAATTGGCTTGATTAGTTCCATACACACTTGCAACAATAAGAGGAAGACTGGTACTTGCTACGCTGCCCACGGCCAATTGGATGCAGCGGTGTCTATGCAGCGTGGATTGTTTCTGGATAATTTTGTGATTGTTCAGATCTCAGGTTCTCACGGCAACGAGGTCTGCGATGTGGCTCAATCCAGTCTGGACGTTTCGAATTGCCTCACTGCCTCCATCAACAGGGCAATAATCAAGGTGATTACACTGGTGGTGGAGGCAGCGAGGCCCTCAGAAACGTTGACGAGTATTCATCAGACTACACGGTGCTACAACGCACAAAACAGCCATCTTCAATTTTGCGATTACTGGAACTTACATTGTGAATCAAAGACTGAGTCGCGTTAACTGGCCTAGTCGTTCGTTCTTACATTATTTAACAAATGCGTCATCTAAATTAAGTAGGATATGTGTTATGTTTGACTAAGAAACCTCCGAAAGGAGGCGGCGAAGACACACACTGGGCTGTAGAGCCAAAGAAGAAGAATATGTTACGTTTGTTGGTTAAGGGTGTTTCATTTCCAAGTTAACAAGAAAGACTATATACCAAGACTAAGATAACTAGTAATTTTTGGTTCGGTAGTTAAGCACAAACTATACAGAGGTAAATGACTTAGTTTCACTCTTCCAAATGTCAATCAGGGTAAGAATTTGCTATCCATTATATGGACCTAAGAGAATTTCTGAATTAAATGATGTTGAAGTAAGTCCCAGTGACTAAACCAAGACCGGGCATTCAGGCAGGACACTGTTACTCCTCCATCTGTGTGGTATTTTTACATAATGAAGTCTTGACATTGGATTCTCACTGACTTCAAAGTGAGATTCGTGGTTCGGAAAAATCGCCATGAAACTAGTTTTTCTCCGAGTTTTCCGCATAAAACGCGCTGCCATTCCACCACTGCTCCATACTCATCTATCACCGCCCCTTCAGGTGACCAAGCAGCAATTTATCATGAGAAAGGGGCCTAATCTCTAACTCAGCACTTGGCTGGTTTCAGAGTAATGGCAGTTCAGTTTGCATTTAATGAGTGTACCTCGTACCATTTATTCAGCAGTCATTTACACATGGACTGCACGCCACTGTTACAGTTTTCTGCGAACGAGGGGTTATGACTGAACGAACAGTCTCTGATAACGGAGTTATTTGTTCAGGGATGGTTTGGATTGTTAGAATGTCATGTTAAATAAGTCACCATTCTACGCATTAATAATGGACTAACGCTTCATTTATCTCTCTTTTACACAGCGAGTTAAACTGAATAGGAATGAAATCAGAACGTGTCTAAATCGCGGGAATTTACAATGGAATACGGAGACAACCAAAAATGGCAGAAATATTACCTTCATACCCCATATTAACACGTGTCAGTCATAACAGACGGTTGGTAACGTTAGGTAAATGCAATCTATATGCCACGGTTCGATTTTTAAATAAATACAATAAGAGAATATCGTAATTAAATATTGTTTTATTGGAACTGTGGGCCGTAAATTCGACGTTACCCGTCACGGAAGACACAGTCTCTCTACACGCCTCTAATATTTTTGTTCTGTCTGTACTGTAGCCATGCCTAATATTCAGAAGGTTTCTTTCCCCAGGACTAAACATTCGATTGTGGAGAATCGAACGGCGTACAAGGTGCACCTGAAGCTGACGATCAACCAATTCAGCAGTCGGGACCTGGGAACGTACATGTGCGTGTCCACCAACTCGCTGGGGCACGCCGAAGGCACAGTCCGACTCTACGGTAAGTCAGTCTTTGCGTTCGTCAATCTCTAGTTTATTTCTTCTTTATACCTGATACGTACAGATAGTCACAGTCTCGAGTTATAGTGTCAGCTGAAAGACCAACTGCTCTCCTCAACCATATAACGGAGACCGTAAAATTTCTATGTCGAGAGAAATATCGTATTTATACAACCAACAAAGCTGATCATGTCCAAACGTTTCGACATAACGTGCTGAAAATATCCTACTTAGGGACGATATATATATTTATAGAGTACGATATGTATTTTCCGTACATCTTATCTGGCCTATCTGTCTTCAGACTCCAGCCTTCAGAACTGTGTAACATAATATCCGGTAATGTTCTCGCTCCGTGTATAGTCCAAGGCCCTCTCAGTCGGAAATCGGCTCTTATATCAGAAGAATCAATATGAAAAAAAAATGGAAGGCAACCTGACCTCTACACTTTCAGAACTCGATAGTTCTATTGACAGCCAATGCTGATCTAACCATTAAGCAAAGAAGGCAGTCTACTTGGGCGACAAAATGGGGGGGGGGGGGCAAAAAAACACGGAATGAATAATAAACGAAGGAGAAATAGCGTAAGACGGAATACAATAAGCGTCAAAAATATAGGATAAAACTGACAGAAGGAATAAATGTGCGTCCGCGGTTTTGTAAAATTCCACCTTGGCATCGCAAATGACTGATATATGTGTAGTGAAGTCGATAATGTGATGGTGGGGAAGGCGTAAGACATAATTTCATACTTGTCGATTATTCTTGGGTAAAAATAAAACATGTTTAAAATAACGTGTGTCTGCTTGTTTGGTTGTCTTTCTCGAAAGCAGTCTCGTGGTTCTCTGAATTACCGACTGAACTAAGGCTTTCAGGAACCGATCAAGCTGACTGACGCAGTGGTGTCATCAATTCAGGCGTTTAAGATTCAAATCACGACTGGGACACCGGGCATCGTTACAGGTTTGTGTAGGCTACTCCAGATACAGGACACGGCCATACATTTCCTGTTCCAATGTCATCACTATCTGTAAACGTATTCCACGTTGAAGATTTCTGTCTGGGTTGTTGCACCTTGTGGTATGGTAGATGTTTACCAACGTTTCAGGGGTCATACTGCCTCCGTCATCAGGGCGATGAGTATGAAGATTTCTGTCTTCTGGGTTGTTGCGCTGTGTAGTCTGGTCGATGGTAACCAACGTTTCAGAGGTCATACTGCCTCCGTCATCAGGGCGATTCATCGCAACAACCTAGAAGACAAATCTTCATACTCACCGCTGTAAAAACCTTAAATCATACAAATCCCACGTTATTCTAAGCTCTATGTCCTCTACAGTTTAAGAAGCGTAGTTAAACAGACCGAGAACCCAACACACAGCTGCAGGTTGCAAACCTATTTCGTTCGTATGTATGCGTCGATCTTTTGGTGTGTGTAGAGAAACGAAAGGAACATCATCAGTTTGCGACGCGAGGCGACGCACATAAGAACAAAGTGAGTGCCATCATTTTTCCTGAATGGGGTCGCGGGCGACAGTCATTTCTTCAAACACCAAATGGTGCTGCCGCCTGTTGCGAAAGAACGATATGATAAGAAGTCAATCTGAAGGCAGGCATTTGAAGGAGAGCCAACTTGTTTCCTAGCATGAATATCGCGCCAACTTTGTTTATAATTAAGCTGCTTACTGAGTACCATTTGACTTCTTTTTCACATAAAGAAGTCAAACATAAATTAAATATTTAACCTGAAATCATATTCACAACGTATTACCGAGCGAGTAAACTTAGAGACTCCCAGTTCGAGTATCTGTCGCGTCACGTTAAGTTCCTAGGTCGTACAGCTGATGTCTTATTCATCTTCCCGTATTAAACAACAAAGTCTTGATGTAAGTTGTGTCCATTTTATTAGTCAAAATTACCTTTCTATGACTATTCTGTATCAAGGATCGATGTACACATGATCTTAGCCACCAATAACGTGTTGCGACTTTCCAGAATCTGATGATACTTTGCTGAGTCGAAAACAAAGGAACTTTTCGAAGGTAATTGGTATAAATATGAAATGTTTATTTGCGGATTTAATTGTCTTTACTGCCAGTATGATGATGAAGTAGAGTGGGCCTATTTTATGCGATCCTGTAATTGTGCATGACGTCCAAGTTATAAATTTGTAATTTTCACTAATAGTTAATTAATTTTAGTTTTCTACTTGTAGTAATTGCATCTAATTAGTTAATATACTTTCCCCACCATCACTAAAATAATTTTGTGCTCATATATCAATCTTTTATTAGCTTCAGGTGTATTGTCAGGTAAATTTTAATATTACCTTACTTCCCTTTCAAATTTCAGTTCTTATTCACTATTATCCTGACTTTACATTGAAAAGTTTAAAATGCTTTGAAAGAAAAATCTTTCAAATGGAGGTTCATAATTCCACTCTTTTAGCACTAGTCAGTCTGGTGCACTGGAATTATTTAAATCCACAATGTGACAACGCTTCGTTTGATACACCAGGTGATAAAACTTTAAATGACATAATGTAGAAATATCTGTAATCTCATACGAATGAAACTGACATTACAGGGGACTCCTGTCTTCCTCTGCTCTGTCTGTCCTTATATTTGACATATCGAGTGTACTTGGGCTAGGCTACGGTGTATGATGTCAGCTTGAGTACAGAACTCTTAAAAGAAGAACGTGCACAGATACGAAACACTGAACTGGAGCAGAAGGAGATGACAAAACGAGAAGGATAGGGCATTGAAGCGTAGAAACGAGAGAGTAAGAAAAGAGATATCGAAACAAAGTGGTCGATAGTGTGGAATAACGGGCAATAGGCTTTCCTCTTCACGTACCCTTCGCCGATTTTATTGCCAGACGTGACATTCGTGCGAGATATCGAATGTAGAAGAGAGAAAATCGATACTAGTTGCACACGGAATGCAAAATGTAGCATAGCTATACCTTATCCAGTGTTAGAAATTCCTTTACTTCAGGCTGAATAAAACAGGGTAAATCAAGAACAACCAGTATATTTCCCTTCCTGGTTACTGATACTACCTCTTCACGGTTTTATTCGTTGTCACTTCAGTATCACACCTGCAGCCAATCTTAGGCAACGTGCTTCGCTTTGTAGAAACCTCCACCCGCAACACACACGTTGCAAAAGCAGTTGGTGTCTGCCTCCGTATCTTATTTGGATTTCAGCTTCGGTGCTTCGGTACACCACCATGGGACATTTTCTTCCATACCGAAGAGTCCAGAAACTCACTTCCCAGAAAGTGCATACACCTACGTACCTACTGAACCGTCTGCCATACGTGAAAGGCAAAAGACTTCAAAGTCAAACTACACAGGTCAACTATACCACATTTTCCGCAGTATGACTGCCCAGACAGACTTGAATCAGCGACCGTAATAACAGGTCCCGGAAAAATTTCATCATCATCATCATTCACGTCGACCACAGACACAGCCTCAGGTTGATGATAACTATTTCTCTGCTGAACGTTGTCGTGTGCGAATATTAAACTTCTTTTGTTGCCAAAACCAGACGCTCGACGACAATTTCACGCAATCTGATTCCAAAGCATATGAATATGACATATTGCAGACGGAAGTTGTACGATTCCAATATATGAATATTTCCTTCCATATGAACATCTGTCTTTCTGTTTATATTTATACACGCTACAAATATGTGTTTGTAAAAGCCGGCGACTTCCAAATACGCATACATAAACATAATTTCAGTGTGTGTACAAGTGAAAAATATGAAGATGGCTGTCTTCTGAGTTACTGTGCCGTGTAATCTGGTAAACTTTTATCGACGTTTCAGATATAGTTATTCCCTCTATCATAGGAACAATCAATCTTCAAAAGATATATGATGCCATACATTTTTACAGTCATTAAGAGAACTTAAATGCAGAAAAATAAATTGAAATGCAAGATAAACTGTTTCTCATGATATTACTATAGAATACTGAAAGGAATCTTCAAAATGTATTACTTTTTACGCTAGCAACATCAATTTCATACCATTTATGTGTATGACACAGCTTTCTTTCATTTTACTTAAAGTTATGTTTTTCGTTCCTGCAAAGTATGAATGCAATGAATTCCATATATACACTGTTTTAATACAGAATATTATCAATTACAAAACATAAAATAAACAGCATGTACATTCTTAATTAAATATTCTCACGATATTTTTCAGAAATCAAGGTAGCAACGCCTTTGCCCATCGGATCAACTGAAAATCAAGTAGTGACAGTATCAGGTAAGATGTTCTACTTAGTTGCCTCAAATATTACTTTCTATATTTGGAAATAAACACAAACACATTAGGTTTGAATTTAATATAAACGAAACATCTATATTGTTTTAATTTCAAAATATGATTGAGAGTAAAATCTGAAACTTACTTTCTTAATCCACATACCGAAACTTTTAAATTAGGTACAAATTTTAAAAAAAAATCCCTGATAGCATGAAGAGCTATGGCGAGTAATTTCATAAAACAAATGGCCATAATCAGCTGCGTTCATTTGTGAATAAAAACAAAAAACTTCTATATTTCATGTGGAGTTAGATGCTGTTTACTATCTATTTATTTATGGTAAATTAAACGACGCTGTCAGTAGCTCACACTATATAACATCGAATGATAAAATTATTAATACATAATGATTCGGAAAGGATATGTAAGGAAGCGATTGTAGCCTAATTCAATGCACTATCCCATCATTTGCCAGAATGAGGTGGGAAAAGCCAGGACAAACCTCAGTCAGGGTAACCAATCTTTGGGGTGAGATTTGAATGTTAAATGTTTATAGTTCCAGAAGTCGAGGTTACTGGTGCTGGAGGCTTGAATGATGCAGCCAATGACATTATTCATACAACGATCGGTGAGTAGTTCGTACAAATTATACGAAACAATTAATGTTCACAACTAACATGAATATTTTTTAAAAGGCGTGATTTGCATAAAAATATATTACAACTGTGCCCTTGTTTCTCGTGCAGCCCCAATGCAGTCCATGATGGAAGAATCGGTACTCGACCAAAGCTCAACTATGCAGGACGTCCAGGCCGAGAGAGGAGTGAACTCTGGAGCACAACGGGGCGCAGCCTGTCGGGTGCTGGCAACATTCATGGCCCCTTTCCTGTCCGTGCTTGTTCATGTGGTCAGATGACAATGCCAGGCTGTCTTGGGTGCACTCAAATAAGTGTGTCTTGTGTATATGTGCATTTATAATATCAACAACGTACGCTAGAAGACAAGACTCAGAGGCGATCGCATTAAACGTCATTTAATGACGATAGTCCACAGGGAATGAGAGGAATTTATGAAAATAAACTTTCGTCTTAATGATAGTTCACTATTACGTACGTGAGCGTGTGTAAGAATAAACGTAAATTTGTTTTTATTATAACACAACATTCAATAATCAGAAGAACAAAAATTAACATACATTTTAGAAAATCGAAATTAGGAAGATGAGTATATGTGATTCGTGACAATGTATAGCTAATTTTAAAGGATAAGATCCAATAGGATTATTTGCATTTATACAGCGACATCTGCATCGCAGCATTTACGTGAGTAATGTTTGTATTATTACATGTTTCGTAGACCCGGACAAATAAAATTAAAAGGAACTTTTCATTATTCCTTCCACAAGAAAAAGGCAGTTCAGTTATGGCTATCTGCACCCGTAACCGGGCGAGTGGAAATGCGTAAAAAAGAACGAATTAATCAGAACCTACAAAGATGGTCACAAAAAGTGTGACATTTCGTCACGAAGACAATTAATTTGTAAACATTATATTCTAATGCGAAGAGAGGTCCTTATAAAGACAGAAGAACGTTGCTGGCTCTATTTCTTACACATCCCCTGTATAAATCAAATTATACAGGATTTATAAAAAAAATGTAACACACACAGTATTATAATGTCGTACATCCTGTATTAAACATCAAGGAAAAAACAGCAGCATATGAATCGCTTGAAAGTGCTGGGGTGATAAAGATTACATCCAACAACGAATAATTTGTCTAACAAAATTCAGTGAAGCATTTAGAACATTTAGTTCCTGCAACGCTAATCTCGATGCTGGAGTATGAAACTCCTACTAAAAGACCAGTCTTGCATTCCAGAAAACACACCAGAAATAATACAGACAAATTTAAGGGACTTCGTAACTGAAGTCACCTGATATCATATATGTAAGAACTAAAGGAAATCGTCCAACGATAACAGGAAAAAAGTAATTGTTACAAGGACCACTGGACTGTCAACGTAGACTCTTCATTATTACGCTTCCTGCGAAACAAGTGAAAGTTGTGGGTTTCATGTTTGACACAGCTCATAAACACGAAGGAACCCTCCAATGGTTCCAAAACATCAGAATCACCCCTAGCGCAGTCTTTCAGTTCATATCCTAGTTAATAGATCAAACATATCAAAACGACGGAAGACGCAAGATTAGTGAGAGGTTTAGCATATCTCAGTGCAATGAAGCAGACCCACAAAATATATCCTTACGAAAAAAAAAAATAACAGCCTGACCACAGTATACCAGTATAACTACAAATAATTTGCATGACGAATTTTAAGTGTGGTTTTAACAGCAAAAGTAATTAACTATGTAAAGGGACGATAAAAGAAAAGACAAAAAATGCTTCCGAAACATAAGTATGTACTTTGAAATGGAAATAAATATTTGGGACGTACCTGAAAAATATCTTCCTTATATATTTCTATCTAGACTAAACACTTCATTTGGAAACACAGGTCACATTCTCCATACATAACACATACATTTTCATGTCTAGCAGCTTCAAACATCGACATAATATAAATTGGGATAAAAGGCTAACTGAATTTTTATGTAATTAATTTTGTACGTGAAGCGCACATACGCTAGTTCTTTGTCTCTCTACACAACACTATTAAATTAATAAACGAAATCTGTTGTGATACCGAGACGCCAGACACGTAACAGACCTCGTGGGAATAACAAAATAGATAATTTTGTGACTTAACTCCTATCGTCAGACTGACTGCGGTCAAAATAACATGTCTGAGTAACTGCTGAAATCCCGTTATAAAGCAAACATTTCCTTTAGAATCTGTCATCTGGAATAAAACGAAAAAAAAAATATTCAGAATGACGAGCGATTCGGTTTCACATAACTTTCCTTGCCGAACTGTAAACGAATTTAAACATAACATTTAAATAAAGAAGAAAGATAATCCTCACGTTTTGGGTTCTAAATATTCACCTTCGGCTTTTCGTATCACAGTATCTGGAGACGATGCTGACTTCTAAATATATTTCAAACGAAGTAAAGTAAAAACTATGATATTTTAATATTAAAAATTTACATTTTAGCCAAATATATGACAGGGGACACATAGATCCAAAACGTAGTCCTACGTGCGGAAAATCTTTCTGCTGTATCCGATATAACCGTATCCAATCTGTTTTGAAATGCAGAGACAGGGATATTGCAATGATAAACATCTCCTAGCCAATCATCACATCTTCCTTCATCCAAAGCTCCCCTCCCCAATGAGTGATGCAAACATATTAGCTACGAGTAGCTACTTGTTAGCAGAGGATGTTACGTGGTAGTCCATATTGCTGAATCCAATTACCTCGTAAATATGAGGGCGTAAACCCGGGGTTAACAAGGAGCTTGACCCCAGTCGTTGCGCAGATCAACATTCCAGTACACTGCTCCTGCAATTCGCTGTATTCTGTAACCCCTACACACGTCACTGCTTTTAAAATATCCACATTCATGTGTGGTAATATAGCTCAGACAATGGATAAAAACCAATACAACTACGATGTAATAAATCAATTATTACCACACATATTTCGGAAACATTTTGTTACTTCGTTCCACCGTAACCAAGTGACAGACAATACAGAACGTCATGGTCGTTCTAAAGGTTCGTAATCCTGTTTTTACTCCGCAGCCCTCGTTTTAGAATATCGACCGGCACGCCAGCTATCACTGCTACAGTTACCATGGGATGGGACTCTGTCTCTGTAGAACTGGGCACCTAATGGGCTCCTTGTCCATCCTCCAGATGGCATGAGTGAATATGGAGAAGCGGTGTGATGATAAAGACAGGAGAAAACCTATCCCAGTGACACTTCGTCCACCGCAAAACCCTCATGGACTGACCTTGGCACGAAAATAGATCTCCGCCTTAGCTAAGGCACGACCTAACCTCCTATCTTCATTAAGGGTCCATATTCGCAATTTCGTCCGGTCAAGATGTATCGAAAACATTTCGTAGAATCTGGACATGGTGTTCAGGAGAAAAAGGTATCTCAAAATCATATGTTCGTGATACGCGTACAACCGCACGTTTTAATATCCTTCACAAACACCTCTGTAATTCATGAACAACGTCCACGTTGGTAATATATAAACTATCAATGAACTGAAACACGAACCAGTGATTCTGGACACCCGTAAAAAAGTATGGCGTGACAAATGCCACATGAATGTTTAGGGACAGGGAACTGAGCCTAATTCTGCACATGGCATAATGACGGCTATAATCCATCACACTACTGGACACTAAACCTATCATTCGTGTAATTAAAAGCGCCTTTCGGCCACACAGGGCATCTTGAGTGTCGTTTTAAACTGCCTACTCTTGCATTAGGTGACTGACTATTAATTATTATTGTGTAATTGTATTTAGCATTTTTTTTAAAATTACGTTTATGTTACTTTATATAAAACATATTAAATAATGGATACTCCACACAGTTTTCAGTTTTTCATAACACAGTATATAATCATCCTCAACACAAGTAGATACTGGAGTATATTTTGTCAAATATTTGACATTATACGGGCTTCCTGCCACGTGTGATTCACGCAGTGAATACCAAGACATTATGTCTATTGTTCCATTATAATTATCACTGTTATACATTGTGCGGCGACTGATTCATCTTATGCACGTAAAACTATTATTCCTTCCTCTCTCATCAGCTGCGTCTGGAAAGTGTACCAACGTATACAATGAATTTCTATGCATCTGGTAACCACTGATCCGCCAAATACCTATTTTATATTCGCTTGGTAATCGTATATGGCTTTAGTGACAACTTCAGTTATCCAGGAAACCAAAACGACCCGTTAGTGTGTGGGAAACGTTACGCTGCATCGTGTGTCCCGAATATGTTTGTATTCAATGAGTGCACCAGTGAGATTGTGAGTAATTCCATTATCCACACCAATTCCTTACTTCCCTTCAGTTCCAGTGAAATACGTCACTGATGTCCACATGTGGCGAGTAAACATACGATAACAGAACCGAAGGAACTACTCATATTTTACCATCTCCCTCGAGGTTAGCATCAGAAGCACTGCATGAATTCAATGAACGTATAACAACATTTCTCTCATATATATCATTCCTAGATTAAATGTTCCCCTCATACTCTTTATAAACTTTGTTGATGTATAACGGAATCTGTATGTTCACGACCGCTAATTTCGGTAACGGGATATTTCATACAATGAAATTCGACTGTCAGATAACTAGGTTTTCAGTAAGGGCTGAATACAAACAAAATCGAAGCTTAAAACATGATGGTTTCTCGAAGTCTTAAAGATATAGCACCTTATATTCTTATTTATCTGCTTAATATATAAATGAATAATTAGATTAAATTAAATTATTGTTATTAATGTGCTGTAACAACGGCCATAATGGTGAATACAAGATAATAATAACATAAAATACGTTTAACATGTATCATAATGATCATTCTGATATTTAGGATCAGTGGTGACTCATAAATGATATTTCCATGATATTTCACAAATATTTTATATTTTCATAGCGACATAATATAATGAATACTATAAACATTTTCATCATGTACCTTAATCATGGAAGAAAGAGGTTTCTTCCACCTACTTAACTATAAAGGAGCCAATGGGACGCCCGAAACGTTGCCCTGACAATGGACACAGCGCATTTCTGCGAAATTCGGGAACCTTATTACAATGATTCAGGGCGTTAACAAAGGAGGCTCTGTTGTCTCCATTAAAATGCATTCGAAGGTTAATGACGAGCGATTAACGCTTTTCTTCGAATTTAAGAGGTCCTGGATTCGAATTCCGGCTGAAAGACCAGCTGTCCTAAACAAAGCATTCATCGCTTTTCTTCAGTTCCCACAGACAACGGTCGGGGACAGAGGATGCTACAACTAGTAACCAGCAGTAAAAATGTTTTTACATAATGGGCATAACCTGTAAGTAAAGTGGAGTGAAAAACAAAGACAGGGAAGCCCCCAGTCATAAAAACCTAAGCAATTTCACGGAGTTCCAAGAAACAGCAAACAACCTCCATATACGACAATGTGACAAGTATAGCTCATAATCTGAGATAAGAAATAAATTATATTTTAAAATCTAGTGGACCAACCAATTTCTCTCTCGGCGTTGCAGACACGACAGAAAAGATGGTGCCCAAAAAATTCAAATAATTCTGGAGGTGCGTTCTATAGTTTTAGAAAAAAAAACTCTCTGCCATCTATTTGACCTTTCCAATATGGAGGGGCACGACATGCCAAGAATTCATTTGTTTTCTGCACGACCAACATGTGCCCGTAACGTAAGGAATGGCTTTTAGTGCAGTTCCAAAGTTAATTACTATGGAAGTGGCACGTTCCAAATAAAGATTTGTTGTCGTTAAGTCAACTCATACGTGCCACAAAAAGGCCTTTCCTTGAAGCCTATCTGTAAGTGCGTTCACGAATATCTCAAACACGTCCGAAAGCAATTCCACGAGCAAAGTGTTCTGTATATAAAGGGAACCCAAAGACACCTGCTCAGAAATTGACGGTAGGAGTGAAAGCATTACTCGTAATCATGCTAGCCAAGATTTTGTGCGTTTTTCTTCTCATACAGGTAGGACAACGTGAACCTCACTCTTTGCCTCCTGTTGTGTTTGTGCGTGTTCGTGTGTGTGTGTGTGCAAAACCAGTGTCTTAACCGGTAAAGGTATCGAGTATGGCGATGGCTCCCTTCTGGGGTTGTAGTCTGCTAGATACTGACCAATGTTACAAAGGTGCTTAGGCCTACAGCCTCCATCATAAGGACGATGATTCGCCCTGATGATGGAGGCAGTAAACACCTCATTATCTACAGGACTGCACAGTGCAACATCCCAGAAGGCAGCCATATTCTATACACGTATCTGCTGCTTCGGGATAAGCCATATTTCATTCGTCATACAACTTACATTAATATTTCATTGTGGTGTATTATGTATTTTCATATAAATAAATGTTGCAAACAAAAATGAAATTTTTAACACGTTAATTATTTCGCGTTTTCTTTAATTCACTCCCTATGAAGAGCCGTGTTTCGAGAAAAAAACGTGAAGTTCGATTTATGTTTCAAAAATTGTAAAGTTTGTAAAGAATAAAGTGAATAAATACGAATAAATGTTATGACATTGGGCTAAAATGTTTACTGCAGACACTCGGTATATAATTCTGTCGAAATCAGATAAACAGTTTCGGAAATTGACACATAACAGTACAAATGACTGCAATAATTAAAAAAACGTCAAATTTACTAACTGAAGACGTGGTGACGCCTGAAACAATCCTAAAATAATTTCATGTTTTGTTATTTGCAGGGGGTTATTCTAGCAGATAATTTAAATGGTGAGTATATACATAAATTTAGCTAT